AGACCTTGGCAGTGTTAGCTCAGTGGAGAAGCAGACACAGAGCACTGTATTGAGGAAGCACGGACCACTGCTGCTAGTGGCTAGACTGGGCGTGGTGACGTGGGGAGACTGAGCAAATGGTATGAGAGAACTTTTCTGGGATGATGCAGCACCCCTTATCTTGACTGTGGTCATAGTGACACGAGTATACACATTTATCAGAAATCACAGTTTTACAAAGTAAGAACAAAATTTGCATTTGTAAATTTTACCTCATTAACCTGAAATGAGATAATTTAAGAATCTTCTCATAGAGGAGCTTCCTCCTACAGGAGCTGGGAACTAACCCTGGACAATGCAGTGGGAGACTTTGGAGCACTCGGTCCTAAACGGGAAATCTTTTTGAAAGCCTCCCTGTGGCCCCAGGGATCTCTCTGTATAAGAGGAAGTGGAAAGCTTTTAAGGACTAGGGGGGTGGAAGCCTCCAAGGAAGGAGGGTCCTCCAGACACAACAGGACAGATGGACAGATGAATTCAGAGAAAATGGCAGCACAAGGCCCATATTAGTTCAAGACAGATGGGGTCCCAGCACTAAGATGGGAAAATGGATATGGAGTGCCCACCACTAAGCAGGACGCTATCTGCAACTAAAGCTTGCTTGCTAAAGAAAACAGTTTTCTCCAATGGAGTCTTACTGGGTATACAAACCACACTTTAGGATGGGCCCCAGGCCTAGCAGTAGGTAATCAAGACAAACAAACTCAACCATTCTTTTGTAGACTTTTCATGTCTCGTTTTGCTTTGTTTGGAACTGTTTTCTTTTGGTCTTATTGGTCTTTGCTTGAATACTATGGTTTCTGATTTTTGTGGAGGTTTTGTTTGTGTGTGTATGTGTGGTGTGGGTTTCTTGTGGTTTGTTAACCTGTTTGTTTTTTAAAGAAAGAAGAAAGGAGGTAAAGTTGGATGATGGGGAAGACTAGGAGGAGTTGGGATGATGGGGAGGACCTAGGAGGAGTTGGGATGATGGGAAGGACTAGGAGGAGTTGGGATGATGAGGAGGACTAGGAGGAGTTGGAATGATAAGGAAGACTAGGAGGAGTTGGGATGATGGGGAGGACTAGGAGGAGTTGGGATGATGAGGAGGATTAGGAGTCAGGATAGGGGAAAGCATGATTAGAGCATTTTGTATGTCAATTTTTTTTCAATAAAATCACTGTATATAAAAAGAATCTTCTGTCAAATTTTAGGTATAAAGATACAGCTGTTTTTCAAAATAAAAAGTGCACTGGCCACAATGCATAAAATGTATCCCTTTAAACATGCCTGCATCATTGGATTATATTTAAAACAAAATATTTACTGGTATTTCACAGAACATTAATGAATGTCATGTGATATATCTCAGTATGTAAAGGCCAAATTACATTTTGTCTACAGACCATCAGCTGAGCACACTTGGGCTGGATTCTAACCATTATAGGCGAGGGAAGAACAGCTGGGTTTGTATCTAGAAACGCTGATCAGAGTCAGAGGCGGCTGGTGGACTCAAGCACACTGTCCTTTCTATAAAGGCTTCTGAACCCGGGACCATGGGAAGCGCTCAGCATTGGCAGGTTCTGACCTACAGGAAACCCACCCCATGTGGTCTGGCACCAGATGAATCATAGTAAACAGTTGCTAAAAGATGAGTCCATCACAGACATCAGCATCACACAGAGAATTAGGTGGTAGTAATGTGCTAAGATCAAATTCACTTTTGTAAAATTCACTTTGTTAATTATTTCTACTTGTTTGTAGCAGTTGTATAATTAGGTCAAATGTACAGGCACTATTCAAAAATACACACATTTACAAATTACATATATATTTAGAATTAGCAGGCATTTAAAGTCTATTTCTTAATGTCTCCTTGAGGTATGCTGTTTACCAGCTGAGATTCTTGGTCAAGTACAAATTCAACTGTATCTATCTTTGTTACTTTTCATTCTTTTTTCTTACCTATTTTTTCTTTACTGTTTTACTTTTAATTAGATACATCACACAGAGAAATAAATGTAATACCGAAAGTTTAAGTAACTAATCCGATAGGCACTGCAAGTGAAACCTGAGGAGAGCATCATGTGAAGACCTCAAGCACCCTCTACGGTCACATGTCCACTATTCTTTCTGGAAGTCAGTAGTGTAGAAATTGGTTTTTTTCATTCCCTTCTCTTTAAATTTACATCTGTGCGGGTGTATCTCCACTGTGTATCTCCATGGCTTCATGTGTCTTAACTTCTTCAGGAAACCCAGGAGGCCCCTTCCTCAGACTCCTGACACTTGTCCATGATGCTGGGTAGTTGTGTTCCATGCATGTGCACTACACACAATCCACTATTTAAAGATATTACAAGCTAATCCATTTCTCATGTTTTCTTTCTGGTAATTCTGTCTTCTCACATTCACGAAGTACATAAAATATAAGGAAACTATAAATTTTTTAAAACATTAGAAAGAGCTTAAGAAGAAGCATTTTCTGGAGTGGATGATGCTCTCAAGTGTCTTAAGGGATCAGACACTCAAGTGTGAGCATATGGAGTCACTCTCATTCAAACGACCACAAAATGTGTTCAGAACTAAGTTAAAGGCAGAGCTATGAGCTGAGCTGAAGCAGAATTCAAACTAGGGTTAATAAATGCATACCTCAAATGGCATGTCACTTGACTTAGAACCTAACAGAATACCTGTCAACAGAGTTAGAATTTTTCTTAGGGAGAAGATGAGTGTATTTTTAATACAAAGATACACAACCAGCAACACCACACTACAAGGTACAACTGAAAAGCTTTTAGCCTGGATAAAACTCAAAATACTCCTTGGCCATTATGTAACTTTTCTTAGTTAAGTGCACTGTGATTTTAAGCGATGAAATTCTGGTAGACATGATATAAGTTGCACATTTCTGGTTCTTTGCCCATCTGTGTCTACACCCTTCCCATAGACAGCCTCACAGCAGTAAAGTATACATCCCTGTCCTCCAACTTGGAACTAGCTTGTGTGCCTTGTGCTTCTGTTTTACTCTTGGATGCCCTGGAGCCGGAGTTACAGGTGGTTGTGAACACCAACGCGAGTGAGTGCACAGGTCCTGCAGCACTCTTAACGTATGACAAATCTCAATTCCCAGGCCTTGTTCTAGTAACAGTAGGCAAGTACTCTATATGCTGTGAATATGTTTTATTTCCATTGGTTCGTAAAGAAGCTACTTTGGTCTATGGCAGGGCAGAATATAGCAAGGCAGGAAATCCAAGCAGAGATAGCAGAGGAATGAAGGTGGAGTCAGGCAGACGCCATGTAGCTGCTGAAGGAGAAGGAGGCCAGAACCTTTCTGGTAGGTCACAGCCTCGTGGCGATACACAGATGAATAGAAATGGGTTAATTTAAGATATAAGAGCTAGGTAGGAATACCCTTAAGCTGTTGGCCAAGCAGTGCTGTAATTAATACAGTTTCTGTGTGGTTATTTGGGTCTGGGTGGCCGAGAAATGAAGGTGAATTCTGTTTACAAAGTAGATAGAATATGAGCAAAATCTTATGTATGTTGTAGTTTGTCTTCTTAGGTTGTTTACCTTCTGTTAAAATCAAACATGCTACATAGACCACACAAACCAGATGTAGACTCAAGACGCAGCTTGAGAGAAGCCCAGGTCAGCTCAGGCTTAGGTGACTCATTTGCAACACTATTTGTGCGGAAGAAATAAGGAATTGGGTTTGCCGAGTCTTCTTAACATAATCATTGTGTTAATTACTAACAGATACAGAAGACATAAAGTAGCAAATACGAACAACACTATTTAAATACTGGCTATTAATTTTACATATAAAGCATAGACTTTTCCCTCTCTTGAGAGATGGTACTAGCATGGCAAAGTAAGGCAAGTATCCTCAACACAAAGTCATTCAAATAAGCAAATATGATCACATGAACCACTTAGTTTCAAATTCTAGTTCCAATATATTCTACTTTCTCTACGTTTGATCTTAGGCATGTAGCTAACAGCCATCCCAGCACTGCTGAGGATCAATGACAAGAATCCTGGCATTTCTGCTATTGATACGATATTGATGTATTGACATGGGTAACATAGACCACACAGACAGCATGGCTCGTTTATTATCAGCATCTGCCTAACTCATTAGGGAATATTTTATTACTCAAAAGATCTATCTTAGTTCAATATTTGGGATTTTTTTTAATGAAAAAGGTAAGTTAGCTTCCTCTTTGATATCTCAGTTTCTTTTTCAACTAAAGTAAGCAAAGATATTGTTAAGTAATATGGCACTCACGGACAATCTTTGTAGTTCCTGAAACCACAATTCCATCAATTTAAAAATATTTAGACCTACAACAATTAAAGATGCAGATTAGATGAGAGTCTTTAAATTAGAATTTATTGTGTACTGAGCCGATCCAAGAGTGAGTCAGCTAATCGTTTTTGGTAAAGTATAATATGCTACATAGAACAGGTCATTCTTCTTTATGGGGGGTTCAAAACAGGGTTTCCCTGTATCTTTGGAGCCTGTCCTAGAACTTCCTCTGTAGACCAGGTTGGCCTTGAGCTCACAGAGATCCTTCTGCCTTTGCCTGCCAAGTGCTGGGATTAAAGGTATGCACCACCACCACCGTGCAGAACGCGCATTCCTATGGCTGCCTCTGTTTTACACCATCAGTAAGTTCCAAATCACAATACAAATGTATAAAAGAAGCTACATGATTAACCCAAATGATCATTTCAAGAATATTTTAATTAAAAAAGTTAGAAAATAATTTTTTTTTCTCAAGACAGGGTTTCTCTGTACAGCCCTGGCTGTCCTAGAACTCTATAGACCAGGTTGGCCTTGAACTCAGAGATCCACCTGTCTCTGACTCCTTAGAGCTGGGATTAAAGGTGTGTGCCGCCCCTGCATAACAGAAAAGAATTTTGTAAATATCAGATCTTATTTTTATTAGCAGACGTTCCTGGCATCAGTGGCTAAGCTCTCGTACCTGAGGTTCCGACCACGACATCCCAAGGGGAGCTGATGGGCTGCTTCTCTCCTCTCTCTCCCCCCTCTGTATCTGTCCCTTGAATGCCAATGCCAGCTACAGTGCTCACCTTCTCAGCGTCTAGGTCGATCTATAAAAAATTCAGTAAGCCTTTATTCAATACATGTTACTTTGCTTTCAATACATGAATAATTCTAATAGAACACACAAAATATTCGAAACACAATGTTTTAAAGAGTAATTACAGCAGACTTGTCACTTACATATACACAATTATCTCTCCCATTTCCTAGTAATAGAAGGGAATGAAGTCCCAACATGCTACCTCATGGATGAACTGTACAACATCAAGCAAGACTGAAGAGGAAACCATCCCTCACAGAATTCTACTGTGTGAGAGGTCAGGAAGGGCCTATCGAGAGACAGAAAGTTGATCCTAGCGCTGGGTATGGCGATTATCTTTGTGTGACAATTCTTAATTGGGAGCTGAAAAATTCTAAAACAGCTTAAAGTTATGACTACAAAACCTGTTAAACTGATTACAAACTAGTGAGTTCTAATTTACTTGGGTGGTCTTTTTGACGTTTGCATAATAAAGTCATTAAGACAATCACGAGCACAGGACACTGAGGCTTTTCAGGGTCCCATGCAAAAAAGCATATCAAAATGGCTATCTATGGTTTGCTTGTGTGAGGGAATGGCAAGGGAAGTGTGAAGAGTGAAGAGGCAACATAACGTGTAAATTGGCCAGGCAGCGGTGGTGCATGCCTTTAACCCGAGCATTAGGAAGGCAAAGGCAGGCAGATCTCTGAGTTCCAGGCCAGCCTGGTCTACAGAGTGAGTTCCAGGACAGCCAGGGTTCTTACACAGAGAAACCTTGTCTCAAAAAACCAAAACAAACACACAAACAACAACAAAAACAACACCCAAACAACCCTATAGGTTAATCAAGAAATTGTTCTAGACAAAAGAGCGATGTTTGTGTGAGAGACTGTGAGAGGGTGATGAACTTAGAAGACATCTGCAGACGAGGTCTTCAAATTAAAATGCAGTAACTATTACTTTTCCTGTCTTCGCAGACACTGTCCTGTCACACAGAATGTACGGACTTTAGGAAATCCACCATTTTTGTGATTATACTACTTCAATAAACAGGCATTTGAATAGCATCTCATGCAGTACTTGGAAATCACCAAGCTGTGAAGCAGGGGAATGGGCACAGCTAACTAAGGACAAGCACTTCTGCCATGCTGACTTGTCCTCTCACCACTTCCCAGAATGACCAGACAGCTATGACAGAACCATAGGATAACTCCGCAATTATTCAGAAGAGCTCAGTAATTAAAACCGCATCATTTTCCTGCAACCTTTGCACAATGATATTAACAAAGAGCTGCCTAAAAAGGGAATGTAATAAATAATAGATATTCCCCTAACTATATCAATAATATATTAGCATATTCAAATGTCTAGAAAGAGTTTCCTAGACTTAAAAACTCCACTTTAGTTCTTTAAGTCACAATGTATATTTATAAACATAAATACATACAAAATGTTTCACTAAATGCATGTATAATTTGTTAATAACAAATATCAACTGAACATTTTAATAGGCCAAATCCTACTCAGTAGCAAAGAAAATGCATTGCTTTTATCAAGATATACCTCACAGTGGATATTATTATACAGTCTGGGTAAATACTTGCTAACCAACAATGACCCTGGACACCTGATCAACATCAGAGTTTCTTGACTGGAACTATTAAAATTTTAACTTAAAATTGAAAATTACCTCTGAAAAAGCATGGGATAAAACCGGGCTCACTGAACATAGCGGACAATGAGGACTGCTGAGAAGTCAAGAACAACGGCACTGGGTTTTGATCCTACTGCATGTACTAGCTGTGTGGGAGCCTAGGCTGTTTGGATGTTCACCTAACTAGACCTGGAAGGAGGTGGGAGGTCCTTGGACTCCCCACAGGGCAGGGAACCCTGACTGCTCTTCTGGCTGATGAGAGAGGGGGAGTTGATTGGGGGAGGGGGAGGGAAATGTGAGGCGGTGATGGGGAGGAGACAGAGATCTTTAATAAATAAATAAATTGAAAATTACCTTTCTTATAAGGTGGTTTTCAGTATCGGCCACATAGATGGCATTATTCACGATAGCTACACCCTGTGGAGAATTAAAAGATGACTCTGAAAACATTCCGTCTTTTCTTCCAGGATTAGGTCCTAAAAGACAAGATAGTTGTGAGACCATTTTTTTTCACAATAAAAAGCAACTTCTAAGTAACATCCTCCAAATAAATAATTTAAAAAACTGCATTTAATGCTGGAATTTTTAAAAACAAATAACATAGCATTTCAGTATTTCTATCTAAAAATTAAGAAATGGGGCTGGAGAGATGATTCAGCAGTTAAGAGTACTGGCTGCTCTTCCAGAGGACTGGACTCAACGACCAGCACCCACATGGAAGCTCACAGCTAGCTAACTAGTCTCCTCCCGTCTTAGAGGGCGCTGCACACACAGTGCACAGGCATATGTGTAGGCAAAACATCACACACATAGAAAAATGAAGATGTTTGCTACTTCCCTCTATTTCTCTGTATGTCTATTCTGGGTAGAATATAGCAGAAGAAAATAATTTTAAAAGCATTTTAAATACCTGCTACCTAGACTAGAAAGATAAAAATAACTAACCTATCAGTAGTCAAAAAAAGGATTAAAAAAGATTTATTTTACATGTGTATGTTTGCCTGCACATATGTATAAGCACATGTGTGTGCCTGGTACCCACAGAGATCAGAGGAGGTCATCAGATCTCCTGGAACTGGAATTCCAGATGTTGTGAATTGCTATGTGGATGTGGGAATGGAAACCAGGCCCTCTGCAAGAACAAGTGCTCTTAATCACTGGGTCATCTCTCCAGCCTCCAAAGGAATGATCTTTTAAAAACAATTTGGACAATAGACTCCTTTGGCAATAAAACACTCCTTCCCTAGAGAAACCTTCGCCCTCAAAACTGCTGTAAACAGTACCATAGCTCGAGAGCCACCAGTCTTCCCGAGTCAAGAAGCCCAGGCGGACACTCCTTCCTTCCCTGCTTCCCTCTCCTAAAGTCAGGCAACGTTCTCAGGTTTTGGAATACCATGACTCCAAGGAGGGACAGCCTGACACGGCAATACACAACTGCTGCTTCCCAAAGTCTATAGGTCAGTAGCCTCTTCTGTAAAGCAGAACTAGTAATGCCCAGGTTCACAGCCTTACAGGAGTGAAAATGAGGAAATGCAGGCAGCCTGCTCAGAATGAAGCAGGCATATGGCTGGCCACCACTCACCACTACCAGTAACACTATTATTGTTGTTAACCTCAAGAGATTGCAAAAAAAGTAAGAGACGGGAGAAGAGCTCTATGCAGTCCCTTCAGATCTGCAACCTGGAATATCCTGGAAACACTGCCAGAGTGAAGTGCCTGCGAAACCTGACTATACCACCACCACCAAAATCTGTTAAGTCATGTGAAATCAGTAGTTCTTGAAAACATGTGACCAAGGAAATCTTTTTAAAAACTCAGCTGGGGACTGGCAAGCTGGCTTCACAAGGAAAAGAACTTCCCAAGCCTGACAACCCAAACCTGATCCTCTGGCCCATTCTGTGGGAAGAGAGAACCAGCTCCTATGAGCTGTCTCCTTACTGCTGCTGGTGGGACAGGGAAGCCTCCAGATGACATGGGCTCAAAGGAACCCACAGCATCAGCACATACTGGACTTTTCTATCAGGGGGCTAGGGAAAAAGACACTCACATTCTCCCTTGAAGGTTTCCTTCAGACCTTTCCTTAGTCTTCTTTTGCATTCTCTAGTCTTGATTTTCCTGGTGATTTCTCTCTTTCTTGATATTTTCCTTCTAGTTCCTTCTAACTCTTTCATTCTTGATGTTTTCCTTCCAGCCCATTTTAACTCTATCTTTATTCTTATCCTTACAGCTTATATACCCCAGCAAAATCTTTCAGGCAATAAAAAAATTATAGTGTGGTTACATTCTCTTTTTTAAGTGAATGATTATAATAAATACAAAATAAACAGTAAAAAGATAGCATGTTTTCCATATCCCTTACATAATTAAACATTTTACATATTACAGATGAAAAACAAATTATCCCAACATCCCATATATATTCATACCCAAGCAACTTGTTATAGATTAACCATGTGGCAAGTAAGCTATTCTTCTCAGTCAGGTCTTTTACTGGATGGCTAGGTTTTGCAGTTACAAAGAAAGGGCCAATCACTTTATTACTTATCTTGAAAGGTAATCTTATAAGAAATCTTAAAAGAATCACAAACCTAAACTTTTATACATAAAAAAGAATCACTCAGCTCTACTTTAAATCTTTAGGGCACATACCCACTCTCGAAAGATTTTCTCTATCAGGAGACTGAAGAAATAGGTGTAAGGAATTAGTCACCACCTTTGGTCATTAGCCAACCATAGCAAGGAAAGTCGTCAGCTAGTAACAACTGGGCTGCTTTGCATTTTTGACCTCAGCTATGCGTCCTTGTGAACTCCAGGGCTTTTCATCTCGAAGCTATTATCAAAACATCTGATCCAACCTGGAGTTATTTTAAGGTTTTGTTTCAGCTAATGGTGCACACCGAAGCCTGTGACTGCATCTCTCAGCATTAAGAGAATTAGAGCCAGTCTGGCTCCTGGGGACTCAATTGTTTTTCTTTTTTCTTTTGCTTTTTTTGAGGCAGGGTTTCTCTGTAGCTTTGGAGCCTGTCCTGGAACTAGCTCTTGTAGACCAGGCTGGCCTCGAACTCACAGAGATCTGATGGAGGAAGGTCATTGGTTAAATAAAAAGAAACTGCTTGGCTCTCATTGGTTAGAGATAGGTGGGAGGAGTAAACAGAACAGACCGCTGGGAGGAAGAGAAAGTGAGCTCAGACTCCACAGCTCTCCTCTCGGGAGCAGACGCCTCAGAGAGACACCATGCCCCGCTCCCAGGCAGAAGCATGCTATGAAGCTCCAACCCAGGATGGACATAGGCTAGAATCTTCCCGGTAAGACCGGTGCTACAGTTTATTAGAAATGGGTTGATCGGGATATCAGAATTAGTCAGTAAGGGCTAGATAGAAATGGGCCAAGCAGTGATTAAATGAATACAGTTTGTGTGTTGTTATTTCGGGCATAAGCTAGCCAGGCAGCCGGGGTGCTGGGGACGCAGCCCCGCTGCCCCTATTTACTACAGAGATCCGCCTGCCTCTGCCTCCCGAGTGCTGGGATTAAAGGTGTGCGCTACCACTGCCCAGCTTCAATTGTTTTTCTTAATCATTAACTTGAGTTACAATCTATGCAGCTCCTTAGGTGAAACTCATAGGCCTTGGCTGTGTAACATTTCCTTGCATTTATTTTTATTCATCAATACTCTGTATAAGCTAACACTATTGTCAATTAGACAGTGTTATTATCAGCTAGGAAGAAATTATCTTCACAGTAATCCACAGGTAAAAATGCCCAGAACAGGATGTTTCCATGAGATAAACACACTACATTACAGGCAGTTGGGGTCTCCCCACTTCCATTCACACCATGCCAGATACCAGAGAAATATCCTGGTAGCAAACATGGAAAGGCACAGCAGGGGCAAAGAAATTCTGGGGTCTGGGGTCTTGGGGCCTTGTCTATTGGAGACTATCAGGGGATTCTTCCTGGTGGGCTGACACTTTGAACTTCAGTTGCCACCTGCTACTCCTGACATGACCACCCGCATCCTGACCTCTATGCCAGGACACACAGCACCCTTCTACTCTCCAACACACAATAAATCATAAATATAAGAAATAATATTAGGTGGGTGTGGTGACTTATGCTTATAAATCTTAGCACACTGCAGGCAGGAGGTCTGCTATGAATTCAAGGTGAGTCTGGGACACAGTGAGTTCCAGGCCAGCCTGAGCCAGAGGCAGAGACGCTGTCTAAAACCCACCAGGTCAAAGAGGATGTCGGGACACAGCAGCATTCTTTGAGGCACACTCAAGAACACAATTTGCTGATGCTGTCTGTTAACAAAGAACACTGTTGGGCTGGGTATGGCAGCACATGCCTTTAATCTCGATTTAAGAAGCAGAGGCAGGTGGATGCATCTCTGTGAGTCCAGAACAGACTGAGCTACGTAGAGAGTTTCAGGACAGCCAGGGCTGCATAGTGAGACCCTGTATCTTAAGAAAGAAGACCTACGCCATTTTGAATGTTATAACAAATTAAAATCTGGGTGAGAAGAAGGCTCAGTTGGTAATGTGCCTCTATACAACCATGAAGATCTCCATTTGGATTGCCAGTGTACACAAAAGCCGGGCATGGTTAGACATACTCTTAATGCCAGAAGAAGGTGGATCTGTATGAGTTGAGGCCAGTCTGGTCTGCAAAGAAAGTTCCAGGCCACCTAGGACTTCATAGTTAGACCCTATTTTAAAACAACAAGAGCAGCAGCAGCAACACAGTGGGGGAGGGGGTGGTTAGAGGCCAAAGCAAGGCCATCTCTAGAGTTCAGTGGTTAGCAAGCCTGGCCAAACCAACAAGCTTCGGGTTCACTGGGAGACCCTGCTTCAAAAGATTAGGTGGAGAGCACTCGAGGGGACACACAATCTCATGTGTCAGCATACAGACTCACATGAGCATGTACACACACACACCACACACACCAAGACCCATAGAGACTAGTAAAATTCAAGACATTTTCAAGCAACAATTCTCATAACTGCCTGTTACAAGTAAAACTAACAAGTAGCACGAACAAAAAGGCTCCACAAAACAACACGATCTCAGCTGACACAAAAGATGAGAACACTTGGCATACTGCAATGAGCAATGGCTTAGGAGCAGCTGATCTACTCCATATATAAAATGTTTCCTAGGCCATGAGATGGGATTGGCGGTAAGGACATGACCCCTCCCCTGACTAATTTGTTGTGTGTCAGTCAGTTCAGCCCAGATAAGCGGATTAGTCTGAATGTACTTAGGAGATTTTGACTAACAGTGCAGATGGAAACCAGAGGCATGTTCTTGTCTAAGGCAGAGAGATATGGAATGAGATGGCCTGTACTCTCATGGAAAGGGGAGGGACCCAGATGCATGCTTTAGTTCTTAAAGACGAAAGAAGAGAAAAATAAAATCATGTACAAATCCTAGACTGTTTACTTTATAATCTAGATACCGAGTTTCTTGGTTACTGTCCTGAGTTCCTGTCTTGAAAACTGTATGAATAGTATCTTGTTAGAGAAGAAAACATGAAACTTCTACTTAAAACATCATTGACCTAAAATTTTGGCATATTTCCACGAGTAAATAAATGAGACATTTTTATTTAAAAAAAACAGGATGGAACACACAAATATACCTAAAAACCATATAACTTAATGATTTCCTCCTTTTGACAGGGAGCTTCTGGGTTCTGTTTGTTCTGAAAAGGAAAGGGAGGTTAACTCGGATACCACAGACTAAATAACAAAATAACTTGGTGATAAAGTCAGAAGCCAATTCAGGCTGTTTTGTATATCTATTTGAACTATTTTTAAACTGAAAAATATATTACATAGTATGTTAGAAGCAAACCTTACCTCCAATGCTATATTGAATCTGTCCATTTTTGTGAATGACCAAGATTCGATGGTGCCCAGTGTCTGCGACCACCAGTCTACCTGTAGCATGGTCTGAGGCTACTTTGCCAGGGAACAGCAGTGGTGAAGGCGGCAGAGACTCTTTAAAGAGTTTTATTCCAACTTTTCCATCTCTGATCTGTCCCCTGTCTTTGTAATACTTTAAAGCGATAGAAGTATATGAAAATAGTTTATCTTTATGTCCCTCTCCAATCAAAGAAAACAGCATGTTTCCACGAGGTCCCAGTATGACCAGTGTTGGCCAGCAGGAGACTTCAAGCTCCTGCCAGAGGCTGGCGTCTGCGTCGTTAACCACAGGGTGGGTGATGTCGTATCGTAGGATAGCACTCTTGATATTGTCTGAGACTTTTTCATTTGGAAACTTAGCTGAGTGAACACCAACAATCAGAAGACCATCTGAAAATGGAAAGTACATTAGACACTATGAAATCTTAAAAACATCAGCCATATATTAGTTTGCTCAATAATAGAAACAATCCACAGATTCAAAAGGAATTACAATAGTGCACTTAATTTATTTAAACATATGTATACAAAATTCACAATCACAGACAGTCTTGATTTCTACATATAAACACATAGGATCAGACTCACGTGCGGGACTGTTTTTCAGATAAAGCTACTAAGGGCAGTCATAGGGAGGCACAGCACAGCAGGGCAGGAGCCAGGTGTTACCAAGCCAGAAGCTCCACAGACAGCTGAAGCCATATGGGCATCTAACACTCTAACTGAACCCACTGCATTCTGGGCAGAGAACCAGGGAGGCTGGAGAGTGAGGGGGAAGCAGTGAGAATGTTCATGTCTCAGCTTACGAAACTGTACTTGCACACAGGAAAGACCAACAGCACACAACTGCTGAGCACTGAGAACTGAATTACTGCGTAGACAGGAAAGACAGTTACGGATGAGCTGAGGGGTAGAGGGGATGGCTCAGTGGTTAGGAGATTGCTCCTCTCACAGAGGACATACGGGGTGCCTGGCACTCATATGGTAGCTCACATCCATTTGTAACTCCAGGTTCAGCGCCCTCTTACTGCAGGCATGTGTAGCACATACACACAGGCAAAATACTCAAATGCATAAAATAAAAACAAATACCTTTTCTAAAGGATGAGAACTTATTATCAGAAGTAACTGGGCTGAATGGCTACTAAACGAAGCTAAAAACATCCATCAGGACTTCAATAGAACCCAAGTTCCAAAGTTCCACACATTATACGATTTCAACGTCTCAGGGACAACGCGAAACTATGGCTTTACAAAGAATGGTAAACCAATTCCTGGTCATCCAGAGCCACAGTGAGAGCACGACTCAAACAAGTACCACAAAAAAGGGTATGTGCTTTGTCATCAAAGGACATAAAAAACAAACAAGATATTGATGCCGATATAGAATCATTTGATTTAGTAGAGACTTACAACAGCTTTGAAATTGTGTCCCATGAAGTAAAAGAAAAACTCAAATGAAATGAATGAAAAGACAGAAACTATAAACAGAGAGATGAGACTGCAAAGGAAAAACTAAATGCGAATGTTAGAGCTGAAAGCCGGGCAGTGGTGGCATAGACCTTTAGTCCTAGCACTCGGGAGGCAAAGGCAGGTGGATCTCCGTGAGTTCTAGGCCAGCCTGGTCTGCAGAGTTAGTTCCAGGACAGTTAAGGTTACACAAAGAAACCCTGTGTCAAAAAACAAAACAAAACAAAGTAAGTGTTGAAAACACATACTTGAAACAAAGAAATTGAACACGCTCTCTGGAAAACAGGTGCAGGGGGAAAAGCCTGGAGCCCACAGGCAGCTTATGAGAAAATGAAAACAAACACAACTTCCTCAGGCAACTTGAGAGCAGTTTAGGAAATCTAAGGAGTTGCAAGAATCCAAAGAGAAGAAACTTGGGAAAAGCAGACATTTGAATAATGTCTAATCTTCAGATTTTGGCTAACAGCAGAAGCCTACACAACTCAAGGTCGGTACACCACCAAGACCCAACTAGAAGAAAAACATGTCTTGGTAGATCATAACCAAACTGTCAAAAAACAGTGACTAGACAAACAAAAGACAACCAGACAACCGTGGAATCAGCTTTAAAAAAAAAAAAACTCGTGAGGAGTGGTTGCCTGGGAATTGGATAGAGTGGGGAGAAGTGGGAAGGATTTGAAACTTTGGCCAAATTATTTATCCTTTATCAGCTTTCTCACTTGTGAGAAGAAGAAAATATCAGGTATGACTTCCTAGGTTAAATGAATTAAGAGGTAATCTTCTGTAGGGAGTTGAGCATAGTACTCAGTATACAGTGAAACCTCACCTAATTTAACCACTGTTTTTTTAAATTTAAAAAAATTAACTTCCCTAAATTTCAAAAGAAATCAGCAAAATTGAGCTGCAAAAAAAAGACATCACATTGAGAAACAGAGGATGTAACCTGATATACATATATACACTCACAAGACTAAAGATGCACAGATGCATGGGCTCATCTAGTTACAGGAAAAGATTGGACTCTAACATTCTCCTGTATATGAGACACAGCCTACAGAAATTAATTAAGCTAAAAATAAAAGAGACACAAAATCTTAACAGGCTAATGGGACACCAGGAAATGGGAACTGTGACACCCCCACCCCAGCTCTCTACCTATGTACAAAAGGGCACCTGTTAGTCGCTTCTTATCTAAAGCAGAACCTACGAGGGTTCTAGTTTATCCTTCTTCCTTCTGCCTTTCTGTACCCTGTTGGGGAATATTATTTTAAGGTGAGTGTTGCTTTTGTTTATGCTGCATTTGTTTAACTTTGTGAAGTTGCGTTACTTTGCCTGTCTAAAACACCTGATGGTCTAATGAAGAGCTGAATGGCCAATAGCGAGGCAGGAGCAAGAATAGGCGGGACTGGAAGCAGAGAGGAAATATAGAAACGAGGCGAGGAGAGCAAGAGAACGAGGAAGACATCGGGGCCAGCCACCCAGCTACACAGCAAGCCACGAAGAAAGAAGTAAAGAAAGAGATACAAAATTAGAGAAAGATAAAAACCCAGAGACAAACGGTAGTTGTGATAATTTGAGTTAAGAAAAGCTGGCAAGAATGAGCCAAACTGAGGTTATTTATAAGCAATAACAAGCCTCTGTGCATTTATCAGGGAGCTGGGTGATGGGCCCTTCAAAGAGCCAAGAGTGACTTCTCACAATGGTACCCACAGCTCATCTGCACTGCAATACTAGACAGAAGCAATGGCCCCGTGTAGACTGTTCAGCCAGCTCTGCCATTATGTAGGTCAGCTCCTACAGTAAATCCTCCTGTTACCTCCCGTGGTTCTGTTTTGTCAGAACAAACGGTGACCACCACACAAACCTCTATCTACACTGCTATTTTCATCCCAGCTCTGCATCTTCATGTATGATACCTTCATCCAACCATGGCAGTTTCCCTCCTTACCCAGAATTAGGTGAGAGCTCCTCAGCAATGGCAGGTGTACACACTAGCCTGGAATCCTTCAACTTCCAAGTTTGTTACAGCCTTGAGGCTTGAAGGGCAAATGGATACAATATGCTTGCTTTCTGCTTCTTCAGAGTGTAGGCTCTGCAGTCCATTGGGACAACTCAACCAGTCTAATGCACATAGTTTGTAACTAACCTTTTATCTGGAGCTCTTAAGACTTTTCTCTTTATTGGGGGGTGGTCTGTAAAGTTTAACAGTTCCATTAAGCTGTCCCTAGGACTTTTCTGGGCTAATATCCTGGTACCTGACAGGCCCTCTGAAGATGAAGAGTCAACATTCTTTTTTCTCCATATTCAGTTTCCTTCTGTTCTAATTTCAGGTATGAGTTTGGGGTGGTTGTTTTGACTTTGAGGTTCTCCAAGTAGTCTTATGTTGCACCTTCTTTGCTTGTCTTCTTGTTCTGTCATTTTGTCCCTCCACTGTTTTATCCTGTGCTTAGCTTATCCCCACCCCAGAGACCCCACCCCCGTGTTTCAATTCAGCACCACCCACTCCTTTATCATCTGCATTTATCCCCTTGGACATCTTGTAATAGAATCTTGAATTTTTTGTTTCCTAAATTCAATCAATACCTATTTCTTCTTTTTCTTTTTAGTTTGTAATGTTTCTGATCCAGGTTGGTTTCCATTAGTCTCAAATGCTGTTTGAAGCTAGTACTCCCGGAGGGAACACTACAGTTGTCAAGTCTGTGGCTATTAATGACAACTGTCACACATTCTCTTTACTGTACACGGCTGTCATCACCTTTACCGTTTGTTTTTGAGGACAAGGTCCCTAGCTTGAGAGCGCCCTCTTCTGACAGCTGTTTTCTGTGCAGGTGCGTTTGTGGACATCATTTATGGAGGGGTTACAGTATCTAATTCTCCTTCACTTATATGGATCCTTTACATCCTCTTTGGCTTTAGGGATCCATCCGAGTGAAGCCACGCCCTGCCTGTATGCTTGTCCTAAACCGACACTTCTCCAAGCTTTCCATTCTCATCCCTCCGGAACACTGAAGAGCTGTGATCCAGGCATTCACCTCAATGTTCAGTGTGTGCACCTCGTATTAGGGCATTTCTTACCAGGGACGAAGGGACTATTCTGTGTGTTTGACTCAGTCTTCTGAACTGCTCTGCTTTTTCTTTCTTTTTTCAAAATTGTTACATTTTATTTTTTCTTTAACTTTTTTATTTAAAATATTTTCACAGTTTGAGGGTATAGTCTGTGATAGCCCCAAAGTCCTGGTGGAGGAGAGTGAGGCGCCTGCAGTCAGGAGGCGAAGAGTACTAAACACTAGCGGTATTCTGCAAGCTTCTCCTTTCTATTCAGTCCAGGAACCCAGCAACACAGACTGCTGCCCCTCAAAGATAAGGTGGATTTCCACAGTTCAATCATCCTGATACAGTCAATCCCAGAGACCTGTTTCCTAGATAACCCTAGATCCTGTCAAGTCGACAACATTAACTACCACAGGTGGCTGCCATTCTCCTTAAGTTTGGAAGTAACAGACGAAGTTCTGTTTAACATCATATTTATAATTTACATAAAATAATTGATTAAATAAACATAATCCAGCCTCAGAACAAGTCTTTTAATGGAGAGAAACCAGCATAAGCACAAGTCAGAGATCCCTGCCTGCTCTACTGTATTTGACAAGGGGTGGAGATACAGACAGGGAGATGGCAAAGATAACTACATGAGAATCAAAGACAAGAACTGCAAAAGCATTTGCATGCATGTGATATAATCAGTATAGCAGAAAAATCCCTGACAATTAGCTTAAAAGATTCAGCAATTCTGAAATAAAATTAACATGAAGATATCCTTTATATATCAAACAATAAGCAGTTATCAACTTAAAGAAAAAGCTACCCGCATGATAAACTGCCACATTAAGTATGTGGAACGGTGTCTCGACAGGTGAAAG